TTAAAAAGGTTCCTTGGACACTTTGCCTCCCTGAGGGCCTGCTTTATTGCAGGCCACCAGAGAGTATCAAGGGCACTTTGAAGATCTAAAGAGATAAATGCAGTATGTAGATTGTTGATTCTGTTGTCATTTATATGTTTTCGAATGTGTTCTAGAGCATGGATGGTAGATGTGCCTGTCCTGAATCCATATTGATGTGGGCTAAGAAAGTTTTGTCGGTATAGATGGTGCTTCAGCCTGTTGACTAGCAGTTTTTCGTAGATCTTAACCAATGCAGATAACAGACTTGACTGGAAGCTGTCGAAAGATTTGCTTGATCTCTTCCATTTCAAATGGTTCGTCGTCTGAAGTCTCTGGGATAGTGGTGTTTCCCCTTGTGTGCCTTTGCTCTGGCGTGTCATCGTCCGGATCGTCTGCTGGGAAGACTGTGTTTAAGGTTGTGGTTGCCGTGGATTCTGCTATGTTGGTGGTAATGGGTTGGTTGGCAATTTGGGCATAGAGTTGATCCGGCTTAAAGACCTTGTTGGTGGCAAGCTTGTGTAGAATTCCATATGGGTTGTTATTTTCTGTGCAGAACTTACGCCAGCTGGTTATTTTGGCTTAAAGGATATTATTTTTATAATGCGCTCTTTCTTCCCTAAAGGTTGCTAGTATTGCATTCTTGGTGGTTTCGTTAATGTTGGTGCGAAGGCGACGTCGTAAAGCCCTGCACTTTTGCCGTTGCTGTCGCAGCTGTTTGCCGCTTGTTTGCCGCTGCACTTTTGCTCGTTCTTGACAGATCATACGTTCTAAGTCTCCGATGGCAATGCCATTTCGTATATAACCCTTATCATCGCTGGTGTTCCACAGGGAAGCGCGGTCAGCCCTATCCTCTACTTCTCTATGTTGCTGACTTTCCCAAGACCTACTGCCAATAATTAATGCTCGCATATTACGCTGACGATACAGCCTTGGCTGTTAAGTCAGCAAACATAAACCATGCAATTAAAAAACTACAAGAACAGACCCAGAAAACTGAAAACTGGTGTTGCAAGTAGCAATTAACGTGCAAAAATCCCATCTCCTAATTCGCAGGAAAAACTTTTTTTCTGCAACCAAGAGAAATCTGCAGCTTTCGGCGAATCTGTTCCAATTGTGAGCCAAGTGAAATATCTCGGCGTCATACTCAATGACAAACTTACGTGGAAAGAGCATATAAACTATATAAGAAATAAGGCGCTTTGTGTGATGAATTTAATGCTCCCCATCATAGGCAAGCACTCCAGGTTACAGCTACGGAAGAAAAGACTAATATATATACTTCTACCATTAAAAAGGCCAATTTTGACCTACGCATCCCCTGCCTGGATTGCAGTAACGGACAGTGATATTCCGAAACTGCAAATTGTTCAGTCAAAGTTTCTAGAACTATAACGAACGCAAATTATTATGTGCGTGATGATCAACTGCACAGCCACCTCAAACTGAACTACATTGATGATTACCTAAAGAAAGCAAATGATCGACCTAGACTGTGAGATGTAAATTTCTTTGGGACTTTCCTTATATCATGATTATTTTGTTCAGTTTTGTAATTGTTAATTAAATTTAACAGAAAATTTTTGTGACAATTTTATTATTTTGCATATTTTAATGCGTTCTTTTGTAATTGAATTGATTCACTTTGGTGAACTTGATAGGCATTAATTGTGCATTCTATTATAAAAATTTGCATTCATGATAGTTATTTTATATTATTCTTTACTTTAATCTTGAATGCATTTTGTATTTGATTTTGAAATTCTGTAAAATTTTATGTCGGCATTTTTCTAGTATTGCATTTGTCTTAGCGATGCCAGCAAACCTAATCTAGAATAATTATTTGTATACCTTTTTTGCACTTTTCTGAATTGAATAGTTGACCTGTTTTTGTGAATTTGATTGGTTTTACTTGAGTTCTCTATTGTAAAATGTGCATTTAAGGCAGTATTTTATAATAATTTTCTTTGACTTATTTTTGAATGAATGTGGTTTTTGGAATTGGAAATTTTTCATATCTTTATGTTGGCATTATTCTTGTACTGTATTTCTATCGCGTTGCCAGCAAACCTGATGTAGAGTTTTTATATTACTTGCAGTGGTTTTGTTTTTAAACCAAATTTATGTTTTGTATTGTAATAATATCTCAGGTTCAGTGTATTTTATGATAATATTGTTCAGTTATCAAAGTTATTGGTTCTTAATTCTGAATTCATATGAAAAAATTTTATTTGACAGTTTATTATTGTCTTAGTTTATCTTTATGCATTTTTTTTTTTACCTAAATTGACTGGTTCTTCTTGAAATTGTGAATCTAATTGATATTAATTGTGTATAATACAGTGATGAATGTATTATATTTTGTTTGTACCATAGTTTTTATTTAAATTAGTTGGACTCAGTTTTGAAATTGTTTGAATGCTTATAGGTACTACTTGTAACATGCTTTCTTTAGGGTCTATTATGACTATGTTACTTATGTTCTTGTGTTCTTGAAGGCCTTGTATGCCACTGTAAACTTATTCTGCTTAGTCGTAATAAATAGTTTCTGGAGGCAGGGGCTTTAATCCGTGTAAGGCAGACATCATGTCAGCTAGGTAATGGAGTCCCTGTTCTCTGGTTAACAGTGTATGAGTTACTGCACGAAGATCGCTTTCTCAAACCTTTCGCTGCCCATATAACATTCCCACATAATTTGTGGAAAGTAAAATGCCCAATTGCTAAGTAGGACTTTGAAAATTTTTAAACACTGTATGTAGTTTTAATTTAATTTGATTATCATGAAATGTAAATGTAAAAGCTGCAAAATGTTTTCCTAGAGGCAATCAGATGATAAGATCACCTCACGTGATGCAGGAAAGAAGTTTAAGATTAAAGTGGACCAACCAGATGCCTACAGAACTGCTATAGCCAGGCGTTACTTTGACACCACCTCAAAGAGCCGGATCATCTTATGATTGTTATGCCGGATCATGATATTCCGGCATACAACGTAACTAAGACGAAATAGAAAAGTGGAAAGACGGTTGCTTTGAATCTTTGCATTTTGTTTTAAATTATAGTTTCTAGAAAGCAGATGCGAATATTCTAATATAAATGCAGAATTTCCTTACCTATGCTGCAAATGTGTTTTGTTGTAAGCGAAGATTTTTAAAAATTCACATTTCTTAAAAAACACCTCAAATCTAAAAACGAATACATTTCGTTTGAGAAATCTTACTGTAGAGTAATCTTACTGTAACTTGCGTTTAAGTAAACTTTTGTCCATTCCGTTTCACGAACCAACGTCATTAAGTGAAAACTATATTATATATATTATTTGTACTTATTTGTGGATTGCGTGTTTAACATACAATTCTTATTTTTAGTATCATTTTATTTGTTATTTATTTATGATTTGCTTTATTTTCTGTGAGATGTCTAAAAGATATGAGAAAATGTGACAATGCTTATTTTAATTTATATAAATATGTACTCTTCTCGCGATCGCACTTTTTTATGCATTTTTATTTATTTATTTATTTATTTATTTAATAATTATTATGTATTTTATAATATTTTTTATTAACAGTAACTCGTATTTGTACAAGTTAATTCGTGTAGCACATTGTATAGATTTTAATTCTGATACGATCGGCACTGGAATTGAAAAAATATCTTAAGAATTATGGGAGATATACTTAAAGATCCCTATAGGACCTGAACAATAAATGTTCTGACCAATCTGGAGATAACTGACAATTTTTTTCCTAATTTGTGATGTATAGAAAGTTTCTAGAATACATGTTTTCTGAGAACTTACTCGTAAAAAAGGTTTTTAGAATTTTAAGTACCGTATATGCGAATCTAATGCGCATCCCCATTTTAAAACTTTAAATAATAAAAACATTGTTTGTCGGCGAATGTAATGCGCATCAATGATATGAGGAATTTATTGAATCTTATTTTATACAACAATGGATTTGTATATAAACTATCAATTAATGGTATGATAATTTTATTTAAATTTAGATACCATATTTTATACAACAATGGATTTATACATAAAGTAGTAGAACATAGAATTAACCTATTAGTGGGCAATTGTTATGTGAAACAATCACTGTTAATTACCACTACCGTATATACGGTACCTATCGTAAAATATGAACATGAAATAAATCGTAACATTTCTATCTAGCTAACAGTTTCTACAATTAGTGATTAATAGTAAACGTCTTTATTCACTGTTTTCATCACTGGAATCCTCGCAGCTCTTTTCGTCAGACGCAGATTCATTTCTTCTTTCCTCATCATCATCATCGTCATCCTCGGCGTTCTAGAGCTCGTCATCTTCACTGCCATTCAATGAATTTGAAATGCAGCATTTCTTGAAAGATTTCACAATCTTTGGTGCTTCGATGCTTTTCCAGGCAGCAGAAACTCAGTGCAACAATGTGCGATGCAGCACGCTTAATTCTTCCTGTCGGGGTCAATTCACGGTCATCGGCGAATTTTGCACTCGAATCTAATGCGCCATCGAATCTAATGCGCACCCCAATTTTGAATACTACATTTGGCCAAAAACGATGCGCATTAGATTCGCGTAAATACGGTAGATCTCCCTGCCTTTGGGTAGTTTTGTAAACAGGGGACTGTACAAAGCCATTAGTCAATTGATAATTAAGAATCTGAGTTATTATCCCTTGACTGTTATGTTACTGAGATTATTGAGCAGTATTTGTATAGGCTTCGCTCTCTGAATGATTATGTAACTGGCGATAAGGATAATTATCTATAAGTCAATTTTATCTGTTCTGTAGCTCCTTTCTGCTAATTTCATTGCATGTAAATATTGTTATGAGCTAAACTGAAATACTAATATGTTTAATTTTTCTCTTTTAGTCATGTTATTTACAGAGATATGGATGGACGAATCCTTAATACATAACACTATATGCATACCATTTATTAAATTTGTGTAGTAAAACAATATCTCTTACGCGTACGGCTCCCGAGGATGGCTCATTTTCGGAAATAGTGTCATTATCATCTTCAACAAACTGTATATCTTCATCATTCTTCATCATTAGTGGAATTGTCACATGCCGTTCCGCCATGCTGTTGCGGCTTAGGATGTCCCACCTGCAACACAAATTAAATTTTTCGAAAATACGAAACAGCAAAAATTTGTATTTTCAAATTAGGTGCTTATTGGTTACATGGTACCAGCCAATACATTGCCAAAAAATGCCATCAGTAACTCCAATTATCTCAGGCGATTGACAAGGTTTACCTAATTCTGAAAATTCTGAAAGATTACCTAATTCTTCTATAGGAATGAGATTTTTTTTCTTTTTCTTTTGTTGTTAATATTTTCTCACTTTTTTGAGAGTAACTGAGAGTGTGGGATGACTTTATTTTAATTTTGATATCGACTTCGATCCCGAGAATGGCGACCACACGCAGAGTATAGAGCATATTTTGGAATCTGCAAAATGGAATACTGTAAGTGGCAGAATGTCACAGCTTTTAGTCACTATTTTTTTATAATAAAAACTTATATCGAGGCAGAGACAAGCTGTAAGGAATAACAACTTGTTTTGTATCGTTTTGAATGAAGTTGCCAAGTAATACCCTCTGAATATCAGAAAACCGGGTTTAATCATAAAATGAGCCGCATGCAGTGTTTTGTTGGGTTACAGAAAATCAACAAATACTTAAAATACTAAAATATTTAAGCATGGACATTCTTCTTGGGTTTGAATCCCATTTTAAGCTCATACTCGACAAAGAAATTGAAATTACTAGACATTTGAAGCCCTGATAAAATAGTTAAAGCTCATTTAATAAACTTTGAAATGAGTGACCATAGAAATTTAAATATTTCTGTCGAACAATGAAAACATATTATTTATTATTAATATGTTTGGGATGGTTATATAGAAAAATGGGTGTCGTTTGCGTCTGGTGGGTCTAGTAAACTAACCGTGTAGGAGTTGTGATAGGAGGTAGAAGTTGTTTTGATATAAGATAGACACTTGCTTGCTCATCTAATGCTGTAGAGCAGAACAGATTTAAATGGCACTCAAGCAAATAATTGAAACAATGATTGATGTAAATTTTTTAAGACTTATGTTTACGTAGCAATGATCAAACGTGCCACTGCATGTTTCCAGGAAGAGGAACTGAGAGTAAAGATTAAATTTAGAGGTAGAAAATGCTTGTAAACCATAATTCCTGTCCCATATTGTAAACTGCGATATCTACTTTAATTTAATGTGAAAGCCTAGGCTCAATTTTTTTAAGAATTGAGAAATTCTCTACCAAGGACATTAAGACTTTTGTTTTCGAATAGTTAAACTCTAGCGATGATGACTGCAGGGTTTATGATAGTTAACAAAATATCTTATTATTTTATCTATAACGTTAGTTCTGATTTTTTCAGCTCCCAATATGATGCTAATTAGCAAACAATATGTATAAAGAACAGAAATTGAAAGTTAAGGATGTTATCTTTCCTTCTTTACCTCCTTTTCTTAACAATTCTCGAAAATTTCACCTAATAACTCTTCAAAATCATGTGCTTTCAGAGTCTTAATTTTTCAAAGTAGCTCTTTAAGGCCCCTTTCTTAGGCCACATAAACCCAAAGTTTGGCGGGATTTAGCTTTGTGAATTTCCGATGCTAATTACCTTAAACTTTACATTTTATGTTTGTTAAAGTCCAGCAAGTAGCGGAGATTGCTTTGTAAGCTCCAACTGTGCAAATTGTTAAGTTTAAAGCTTAATAAAAGGTTTGTTAAAGAAAAGTAAGAAAATATCAGAAATGCTTCGTCGAACGTTTTTTCCCTAGCCGTTCATAGGCGTTATAGCCATTTATAACCATTTATAGGCTCTAGCCCTTTACAGGCGTTAGCCACACTAATAAGGCTAGAAGCGTTAGTCTTTTTATTATGAAGGCACCTAATAGGTGGGCCACAGTTTCCTTCTATGAACGGACGACCAAATCACATCCATGCCTTCTCCAGGATTCGAAACCCGGCCCTTCAATTTTGCAGTCAGAGTCATTAACCCCTTTCCCATTTTTCTGAGCGGCTGCAACATAAAACTACGAAGTATTTTTGCCATTTTATGGTATTTTAGAGAGACTTTTTAAAATGTTAAATTGTAATCTGAAGTTTTCACATTGCGAGTTTACTATTATTGTTTTTGTTTTTGGTTGTCTTTAGTTTCTATGTGGATCAGCTGGGCTTTTATTTTCTTCAAACCATAATATTTCCATATATATTACTTGATTTTTAAAGTACAGCGTATATCATGTTATAAATACAAACATATCTCAGCTGATTAATTAATATTATTCTGATTTTGCTCATGCATCTTGCATTATAACATTTCAATAGATTGCAGCAGTAGAATTTAATATTAATTAATATTTAAGTTACCTTATCTTTGTTTGAAATTGTATGTATGAAAACAAATACTGAAATTAATGTGGATCAGAAAAGCTGTAAACCAATCATCTCTTTTGACAACTGAAAATGTCCCTTAAAGCAGAAATTTATGAAGAGAAAAATAAAGAATTTTAAATAAAAAAAAGAAAAGGAAAAGGGGAATTGAAATTTTTTATTCTTATTTTAAATTTTTGAAAAAAATTTTATTCGGTATTAAATCCCTACTATGAGAGCTATGTAAATAAATTAATTAATCTAACCAAGTTTTGAAAGTTAGAATTGTTATGTAGTCAAGAATGTTCATCGTACAGAACATGAATAAAGCGAGTTGGATAAAAAATACAGAAAAATAGTACTTCTTTGAAAACTATTCTAAAACTAAAGTAATTCTTACGTAGCAATAGAGCAAATAGAAAAATTTTTACACGAAAAAATTAGTTGAATTCATGCCAAATCTAAGGAAAAGTTAATTTGAGTTAAATTAGCGAAATACCGAATGTCCTGTTATTTTCATTTTTTAAGTAAATATAAATCGTTTAATCAAAATTTCCGAATACTTATGTGAGTTCATTTTCAGAAGTTTTTGAGTAAATTATATTTTTACCAAAAATTTTCTGAATTTTTTTCCAAAACAGTCAGGTTTTAAAAAAAGATAATCCATAGTATATATGAAAGAAATATTGTAGAAATATAGTATATATGAAAGAAGTCATTTTGTTAAAATTTAATAAATTATATTTGCAAATAAAACAGAAAAAAACTGTTCAAAAATTAATGAGAGCAACTGCAAAATTTTAATCACCAAAACAAACCAGAATTTTTTTTTATTTTCTGACGTTATTCTTCGAACTTCTTTGAATTTATTTAAATTCATCTTCAAGAAGAGTTTAATTATTGAATCATTTATGTTGCTTTAAAATATGCTATATTTTTTAATCTTTCGAATTATTTTACATTGAAAAGTTTTTTTCAAATTTGTATGTTGTACATATTAGAATATAAATAGATTTATTAGAATTTATGAATGTATATGTAAATGTCAATGGAAATGTATAGTGCTTAAACAAAGAAAATTTTAATGCGTATCTATGTGTGATGATGTATTTAAAATCTATTGTTTCAAGATTTCTTTCAGAAAAAATATTATCGAGAATAGAATTTAAATTTTTACTTTAATGTATCCAAAATAATGTGCAGTTCTATAAATAAAATATATTTTAGCTATGTAATGAATCTCCTTGGAAAATAGTCAAATTATTCAAAAGGAAAATTTCCATGCTTTTCGCTGTTGAAATCGTCTTATTGACGTTAAATTCAATAAGTGTTGTTAAAATGTATACCTAAAACAAAATTTTTCTTTCAAACAAATTCCATTTAAAAATTGTTAAAGCTGTGCTTTATAATCTTTCAGTTAAAAGGCCAAAGCTACTTTTTTGTTCATGGTGTTTGAGATGAAATCAGTAAGCACTGTCGTTAAAAAAGTCTCGTACACAAGTGAAGTGATACTATGCTAAAATAGAATTTAGCCAAGAAACAATGAAAACGTTGTCATAAGTCTTTCTGTCTTATCAGTTATTATTTTTGTTGTTTGTTGATCGGTATCTATTCTTATCACTTCACTCTGAAACTACAGTGTCTTTCATGCTGTGATTGAAACTGTCTAAAGAATGACAATTAGTTTCTCGCTTCCGTCTTCACTATTTTAAAATAAAAATAAACAAACACGCTAAACTCTTCTGTAATTAAAATATTTTATGTTTGTCTGTAGCAACCTACTTCAATAATTAGATTATTAAAATATTTTAAAAGCCTGTTGCTTGCAAACACAGTGGAATCTTGACTCACGAATACCTTTGATTACGAACAAATTGGTTTGCTCTCAAAGTTTCTGAGCAACACGTGTCTTGGATGACGAAGGTATCTCTAGTATGAAAACGCAAGTCGCAAGAAATGATTTTCAAAGGTTTCCTGAGTTAAACTCTGGCACAGATTCCCTAAGAGTGAAAAATAGACAGAAAACATGATTTGAATATTCTCCACTATTTGATCCTCAATGGTGGAAACACTCTCAGCAAGTTATTTACAAAGCCATCTTGAAGGAGTGTGGTGCAGGTGGATATTTTGTGTTTTGAAACTGAAGCTTTGCTACGTATGATAACTTGTCTCTAGACAGTACCTTAAGTTAACAACGAAGCCATAAAGGAGTTATTAGAAGTCACAAGTGAGCTCTACATGAAATAACTCCATAGTTCAGAAGCAGTACCAAAATGTGACTGTATAGGAAATATCTTCAAAAGAAGAGGAAGGGAAAGAAAATATGATTGAAAAACTTATTTAAGAATAGTGCAAAGTTCATGGAATGATATCTCCCTGTTAATGCAATTATAAACCACATCATAAACAATTTTTCAATGACAGGCACACGTTTCATTTTAAAAGTATTTTAAAACATGCAAATTACATTGAACAAATACAAATCATACAAACGTTTACGGAGCTATTGTGTATTTTTCTCTTTTTGTGAAACTCCACTTCTGCTGTTAACTTTCTTTCGTACGGGTACAGTAAAATTAGATTAAGTTTTTGTATATTTTATGTGTTTAGTAGTGTGTTTACGATTTTTATTTTAGATTTAATTTTTTCCATAGTGGTTTAAATTATGAATTTTAAGTTCATATCACAAAACCAGA